TAGGTCATTGATTACGTGTTCCTCAACCTAAACCTTTCCCAAATTTCTCTATCTCTGTTAAAGACCATTTTCCCACTAACCCCTCTTGTAGCACTATAATCATTCTAAATACCTCACTTACCCTCATGACACATTTCCAATCAGTTGCCTAGTCTTATTGACTTTACCTCCTCAATATCTCTTATATCCATCTCCTTTTCCCCATCTACACAATGACACCCTAGTTCAAGCCCTCATAGCCTCTTTCCCTTACTATTGCAATAACCTCCTAACTGGTCTCCATGTGAGACATCTCTTCCTTTACAATCCATCTATCATATATTTGTCAAAGTGTTTTTCCTAATGCATAGTCAAAAAAAAGTCATGCCATTACTCCAAAAACTCCAATGATTCCCTGTTACCTCTAGAATCAAATACATATTCTTCTGGCATTTGAAAAGCCCTTCTCGATGTGGCTCCAACTTACCTTTCTAGGTTTATCACACATTATTCCACTTTGTGTCTTGTATGATCCAGCAAAACTCAACTTTCTTGCTATTCACATGCATGTCTTTCCATTTCCCATCTTTATTCCTTTTCATAGGTTGTTGTCCACAGTGCTTGAGATATATACCCTCCTCACATCCATCTCTTAGAATTCTTAGATTTTTTTCAAAGCTTAAAAATGTTACCTCCTACATTAGGGCTCTCTTGATACTCCAGTAGCTAGATTCTCCTCTACTACCCCCTCCCCAATTCATTTGTATTTCCTTTGTACGTATTTTGTACTTAGGAGGATATATATTAAAAGATAATGCAAACTCATTGAGGGGAGAAACTTGTCTCATTTTTGTCCTTGTATCCATGGCTTACCACAGTGTCTGAAACATATATAGTAAGAACTCAATACATGTGTATGTATTGATCGATTGATTCCTGTGAGATGATTAAATTTCAGAAGCATATGTGATTTACACACATTTTTATTTCTTGTCATTGGCTCACAATAAGTCAGTGCTTTGTTAGAATTGACTGAGGTTTCAGAAAGGAAAATACTAGCCAAAAAACAATCAAACAAAAACAACCCCATCAAAATAATTTGCTGTTTAGCTATTATTATTACTAGAGCTGCAAATAAATCTAATGAATTGATATATAAACAGTCATTCAATTCAGTAGATTATGGAAAAATTTAGTGAAGTCTCTATCATGGACAAGGCCATTTTGCTAAAGAGCTATGATGATAAATTAATCTCTTTGTTCAGAATTTATAATCTACTAAGGAAGTATTGTACCCAAATAACTATATATGCAAAACAGAATATAGTCATTACATATGAAAGAGTCAGGGTATTCTGTGAGTTCAGAAGGACATATCATTTCTATCATGGAAGATAAAGGAGGAAATGGTGTTGGAGCCAGGACATGGAGGATGACTAGGACTCTAGCAGTCAGATGCAGGAGATAGAGGAGGAGAAGGGAGAAGGGGATTCTGTGTGTAGCTAACAGGTAAAAGAAAGGCATCGATAGGCTAGTCAGGACAAGTAAAATGTCTATTTTGGCTAAAGGGTGGAATATATGATGTAAAGTAGTGGGATAAGGCTAGACAGGTTTATTGGGGTCAGATTATCTTTTCTAGGAATGCCACATTTAGAAGTCTGACATTTACTCATTTGGCAATGAAGAATCACTAAAGAATCTTGAGCAGTAAAGTGATCTGATTGTAGGTGCGTGTTTAGGATATTACTTTGGCAGACGTGTTGAGAACTACAAGTGGAAAGAAAATATGATGAAGCTATTGCAATTGACCAAGCAAGAGGTCATGAGCCAAAATGATGACACTGGGAGTCTGGGAGCAGATATCAGAGATACCAAGAAGGCAGAATCTAAAAGATTCTGTGACTTATTAGCTATGGGAATGAAAAAAAGAGAAAAGCTCAAAGGTGAAAAAAAAGTTTCAGGTTTGGCTAACATTGACAGAAACAGAGAAGTGTGGTTGAGGGGATGCTTTTGGAAAAATGATTAATTTGGTGGCAGAGCTAGTTGAATATGTCCAAGAGGTAGTAGAAAGATGTCGGTCTGGGAGTCAGGGAAAAAGTTAAGAGTGGAGAGATGGACTTTGGAGTCACGTAAACAGAGGTGAAATTTGAAACCATGGAAGTGGATGATAGGACAGGAGTGGAAGAAAGGAAAGATGTTAGCTCAGAGCCAATGTGGGAAATGTTTAAACTAAAATGAAAGGAAAAGGAACCAGTGAAGGAAACAGAGAAGTGATGAGTATTCACATAAGTACTGTATAGTGTCTCTGAAGCCATGAAATTATGCAGGGATGTGATGTGCTAGTAAATATTTAACTGACTCTCTGTTGGGCAACATGCTTACAAATTTAATCTGCATTATTCACATTTTCTCCTTCCCTTTCTTAAGGCTAGACAATCAACAATAAATCAAGTCATGATTTATAGATTTTGCTATAGGTGTAAATGCTCACACTGAAAATTTAATAATTGGCTCTCGGAGCAGTTCAAGCTGGCACCTTACACTCCTGGGAGAAGGTATCAGGGAACAGATGATCAACAGTATGCAGAGAAGGAAGACTGGAGAAAGAAGGGAAAAAAACCCGGTATTGGATTAAACAATTAGGTGGTCAATGCTACCTCTTTAAATGACAGTTTCAGTTGAGCAGTGTGAGAAAAGCCAAATTGTAAAGGTCAGAGGAATTGTCAAGTGGTGAAAAAAATTAAGACTTTAAATTCAGACTCTTGAGGTTCAAGCAAAGAAATGTAAGAAGAGAGAGATGAGATGGTACCTAAAGAAGTATAGTAGGATCAAGGGAAGTTAATATATTGTATACACATGAACATGCACATATTAGTCGGAAAGACCTGGGTTCAAATCTCACCTCTAACACTTACTGTCTGGGTGATCCTGAGGAAGTTCCTTAAACTCTCTGGGCTTCAGGTAACTCTCTAGGGCTTACCTACTACTTACCTAGGGTTGGATCTGCATGGTGGAGGGAGTTCCACCACAAAGAATTCTTCACATTGATGATAATTCATAAAGCATGATTTCAGGACAGGGAGATTTGAATCTCTTCTTAGACCGAGGGCAATTGCTTTACACATGACTTTTCAAGAACACATTTATTGTCTAAAATGAAACATATCCATAATTTTCCACTATATTAGACTCCTTAGTCTTCTCCCTCTGGAGTTACTCCCTAGGATAGCTCTTCTACTTTCATTGATTTAGTTATTACTTATATGAAGATGATTTCGAAATCTACACCTCCAACTTTGTCAGATTCACCTCTTTTCTCTTTGTCTTTTATTCATGGATTTTTCTGTATCAGTTTGTATATAGCCTCATTTGAATGCTTTTAAGTGGTCTTAGTATATTATAATATAATAATGTTAACTCCAGATTTTTAAAATACATCTTTTAACAACCTACAACTCCCTGAGATAAGTAGCTAGAGTATTGCAATCCTGACTTTGCATATGAGGAAACTAAGGAGGTTGTGAACAACTAGACATGGAAGAACTAGTAAAGCAGATTATAGATTAAGAGCCAGAAGGAATCTTAGAGATTATCTTGTCCAATGGTGTCAAATTCAAATAGAGAGGTGGCTACTGATCCATACAAAAGGATCCTTGCAGGCTGTGTGTTAACTTAGCTTGAAAATGTAATATTATCTATATTTTATTGCATTTTAAAATTTATTTTGTTAAATATTTCTCTATTATGTTTTAATCTTTTTTCCAGTGGTAGAGAATATGTGTTTGGCTGTATTTGATCTAGTCCACTGTTCTAGTCCAAGTTCTTCATTCTACAAATGAGGAAAGGAAGTCCCAAGAAGCAAAATAATTTCTCCAAAGTCCCACAGAATCAATCAAAGCCAGAAGGTGACCCTAGATCTTCTGACTGCAAAGCCAGTATTTTTCCTATTGCATCATAATTCTCTTCATGCTAACTCTTTCTCAGTGACCTGCTCCTTGAAGGCAATCATTGAGTCTTCTCTTTCCCCATACCTCCCTACATCTTCTAGTATAATGCTTACCATCCAATGGACACTCAAACCTTCTTGTGTAATAATGACAAAGTGAAGAGTGTGAATTTCCCATCACCATCAGTTTTTTTTTTAAATAGTAGCTCAGTTGTTTTTCAATCATGTCCAACTCTTCATGACCTTATTTGGGGTTTTCTTGGTAAAGAGACTGGAGTGGTTTTGCCATTTCCTTCTCCAGCTCATTTTGCCAATGAGGAGACTGAGGCAAACAAAGTTAAGTGACTTGCTCAGTGTCACACAACAAGTAAATGTCTGAGGCCATATTTGAACTCAGAAAGATGAGTCTTCCTGACTCCAGGCCTGGCATTCTCTTCACTAAGCCACCTGACTGCCCCTTTTAAAAATAAAACTGTTATAAATTGTAAGAATTTGAGACTTGCTGAAATATCACACTTTGGACTTAGGCTCTGTAATGACTCTATTATTAAAGTTTACTTCTCTTTTCTACCTCATCCCAATCTATTTTTGCGTATAATTGTTTATGCTCTAAATTAATGATCATTAGTCACATAGAGGTATAAAAAATAGACTTGATGGACTTGTTAAAAAGTTGTTACTCTCAAGAAGTATTTTCTTCTAGAGAATTCTACTTGCTAGCATTTAAACTTCTGTGTAGTTTGCAACTTTTGTATTTAAGCTCTATTGTTGTTTCTGACATATAGGAAGCTTTATTAAATTCATATTGGTTAAATATGTGAATTAATGTGTATCAACACTATGTTATTTATTTTATCCTGTTCCCATTGTTTTAGTAATTAGTTGATATCAAACATAACTTCTCACAAATTAATTATAAGAACTTTATATTATATTGTTCTAAACTGTATGATTCACATTAAAAAGTAAAACCTTAGAAATGATTTTTCATATAATTAGTAATTAATATTTCTTAAACATTCTATATAATTCCTATGATCATGTATACTGACAAGTTTTTTTTTTAAACTTGCAGCAAATAGTGGAAGCAATAAATGCAGGGATTATACCTTTAGGAAACACCTCCAATCAAATCAGTCACTGGGACTTGGGAAGTTCCTTCTTCTTTGCTGGCACTGTTATTACGACTATAGGTAGGAAATATCTTATGAATTTTTATTTTGAAAAGTGGTGTGAGCTACAATGCATTTCTCTTTGAAAAATGTTTTCCCCTCAATAGTTGGTTTGGTTTGTTGGTCATAATGTCACACTTTAGAGTGAAAAGTAGATTTCTGCAAATGATATCAAACTGTGGTATTAAATGAGAAAGAGAGGATTGCTTAAAATGAGATAGTCCCCAAAGGAAAAAAAATAAAACCACAATCTCAATGTGACAAGAGGACTGGAACCTCAAGAAATCTCTCCCTTAATTATTGTTTTACCTTTAACTTTGGGAAAACTATTTATGCTTTGATCCCTGTCTTGTTATTTTGATGCACAGGTATGGAACCCACTTATACCATTTTGATTTCATGCTATGTCCATATTTATATTATAACTGTATGTTTTGTTTCAGCAGATGTTGTCATCCTTTGTGTACTTGCATATTTTTTTCATATTGTTGGATGATGTTTAAGGTTTAAGCAATGAATTTTGAAAGTCATAAATAGCCCAGGCATAAAAAAATCTATAATGTGTGTGAAGATAACAGAATGAGACTGAAAATTTATACTACTTTACTTTATTGCCTACTACAATGCCAAAAAACCTACTAAAATTGCATCTATCTTATTTTAAATCTTTCTAATGCATCTGTTTGGCTTCATCCCCTGTAATACCTCCTAAAGGATCTATATGGCATAGTGTATGTGGGAATGGGGTGGCTATCCACAAAACACTCTGCATTTATGCTTTTATTGGTCATTTTGCCTATTTGTACACAGTCCTATAAAATTAATAGCCAGGGGACACAAGAACACATGAAGCTAGCTGTGGTGAGTAGGTACTGAGAATGATCGTGGTTGAGAAGGTTTTCCATAAGGAAGTGGTTTTGAAGCAAGAGAAGGAAAGCAGTTGGCTGAAAAAGATGAAAATATTGTGGGGAAGAGGAATGGTGTGTACAAATACATGAGGTTGAGAGTGAGGTAGTTTTGACAACCTGAGTAGATATTCTCCTCCTCCAGATGATCTGTCAAGCACTTCCTTCTATAGGTTTAAATAGATGTGATCTCAGACTACAACATCTTAGGATAAGATTTAGTGTTCTGATTTAACTGCCGGAGGAATAACGATATGATAAGGCAAAAGTCACAGTTTCACATCAATATTTTAAATTAAACCCCTAAATTCAACAACAAAATACAACAAACATTCGTTAGGCATCTGCTTTGTTCCAGTACCTATATTGTAAGTATTGTGCTGGGTATAAGGTATATAAACCAAAAATGAAACAACCCTTGCCTTCAAGGATCTCTCTTCTACTGGATCATTGGCCAAGGCTTTATTTTGCTTTCTATGACTCACTTCACAGTTAAGCTACTGATGTATGAATTTCTGTTTGTGGAAGTTAGACTAAGTGGTGAATTAGGCTATTGTTGTTGTTATCATTATTTGTAGTCTGCCAGTATGACTGTGCAATAGCCATTTTGGGACCCTCATTTCCTAAGTATTGTGTGATTAATTATAATCCTCTTTTGCCTGAGTGTTAAGAGTTATTCATTTTCTTTGAAGCCTCCCCACCTGAAGCCTCACAAATTTGCATTCCAGAAGTTCAGCAAGATGTGATTTTTTCCCCCTTTTTGTAACCTTTGCAAATGATCTAACACCCATTCTGAGATACTAATAATTTCTCTTACGATCATTTTAAAATAATGACTCTGAAGCTTATTAGAGTGTACGCTCTGAAGTAATCTTATATCACTGAATATCATTCCAAAGTTATTTACGGTAACAGTTAGATAGCACAGTGATCAAAGTGCTAGACATGAAGTTGGTGAAAACCTTAGTTCAAATCCTGTCTCAGGCACTTACTAGCTGTGTGACCCTATCATTTAACTTCTGTGTGCCTCAGTTTTCCTATCTCTAAAATGAAGATAATTATAGTGCTTTCCTCCCATGGTGATCATGAGGATCAGATGAGATAATAATTGTAAAGAGCTTAGCACAGTAGCTGGCACATAGTAAGTACAATGTAAGTGTTGTTATTATTGTTGGGATAAAATGAAATAATATCATAAAATTCTTTGTAAACCTTAAAACACTACACTAGCTTATTATTATTGTCATCATCATCATCATCATTATCATGGTTGTAATTTTAGTTATTAACTGGTCTATCATAGGTTTTGCTTTAGTGGAAATAGCATTGGGTTTTTGAGTCAGAAGGCCTGGTTTCAAATCTTGCTTCTGTCACTTACTACCTGTGTGATTTTGGACAAATCATTGAAACTCTCTGGATCTCAATTTCCTCATCTTTAAAATGAGGAGGTTAGACTCTGAGATCCATTCTTGATATATGAGCATAGGAATAGGCATCTATCTCTGAGGGTCTTGACTGTATGTCAAGGAAAACTGTCCCAAAGACAAATTACTCATGTATAATGACATATATGAAAGACTGAGAGCTTAGATATGTGGGCCTTGGCCAAGTAGCTTTCAAAAAAGCTAAGCGCTCAGGTATGCACATCCCAGCCAAGAAGTACTCAAATCTTTAAGAACATTTGAAAGGCAAAGCTTTAAGGAGAAGTATCAGAAGTAGAACTTATGTAGATCCTCAAACCCCTTGTCAAAGATTTCTACTGGGACCCTCTCATAATACTGCTACTTGTATCAACATGAAGAAAACTAGCACTTTATAGACTGAAGGAATGTGCCTCTCATCTGGAAATGCCTAAGGGGACCTTGATAGCTTTCACACTCCCTGCATTCACTTTTCATCCAAAATCTGGGCAATCAGAATTCAAATCCTTCACAGTGTACTACAGTGGAACACGCTGTGAGTTGTCTATTGGATTTTGCTTTAAACTTTTAATGATGTGGTAGTAATGTTTACCATATAGCTATCCATTTAGAGAACATTTACTGCTAAATTTAGGGGAATGGATAGGGGAATTCAATCTCTTATTCTACCATTGAAATTAGCCTCATGAAACTAACACATGACTGTGTGTGGGGGGGGGAGTTAAAACATGTGCTCAGAGAAGTTGATGCAATTATTTAAAGACAAAGGGAGTATTAATAATTGTAGGGATTAGAGAAGGCTTTATTTGAGCACTGAGGCTGTGGTTTGAAAGAACATGAGTTGGAGATGAGGAGGGATACATACGAGAGTTGAGAGATCACTTGTGTATTGAGTTAGGAGATACAATGACATAAAGAGAACAACTAGCAGGGCAATTTGACTGGAATGGAGACTATACGAAAAGTAATAATATGAAATAAGAATGGAAAGGTAGGTGGGAGCCAGATTGTGGGGGGCTTTCAATACCAGTTTAAAGATTTTTGTACTTGACTCTAGAGGTAATTGGGAAAAAGTAGAATAAAACTAAAGAAAATACTGCTTAGATTTTCTTCTTTGGAACAATTTGTCTTCTTTTCTTTGTGAATTCACTACAGTCTTTCTGCCTCTAGGTCATACTAGATTGAAATATCTTAGCTTGCCTTAGCCATGAGACAGGTCAAAAGTTAGGTGACTGTGAAAATCTGGAAGGAAGGAAACCCTAATTTTCAACCATAATTATAGGTTAAATTTGGGGCTTAGACATTTTGACCATTTCCATTCTGAAAATAACTATTTATTGTTTGAATTACTTTGAGTCTGAAGAGAAAAATCATTACAAGAGTGTGTGAGGATGGTTATTTTCTGCACAATGAAAATTCAAAAGGTCAAGTTATACCCCCTTTGACTACCATCAAATTGCTTTGAGAGAAATTCTGTCTGTCACTAAACAGACTTAATGTTAAGTTCTACAGTATGTTTATAAACACTGTCTCATTTCAAGAATCCCCAAACCTGTTAGTTTTGCAGACATATACTTGAATATATAAAAAATACACTATTATTACCAGCCTTACCTTCAAATTATAGCCATTAAATACAGTAGCTGATTATTTCCATTGCCCCTGGGAGTCTCCAGGCCGTGAAGATTTCTCACAGTTTGAGATCAGTCTCTGGGTTTTCAGTGAATTAGTTCCTTTTGGGTCAGTAACATCTTTCCTAATAAGATAGTGTCTTTTAAAATAGAGGGCCCTAAAGCATCCTCAGCTCTTTCTTAGAAGTTTAATCACAGATTCAAAGAAATTCCAACATTGGAAAGGCCCCCAGATTCCATATGGTCCAAACTGTACCTGAAAAATATCCTTTCTACAATACACCCGATAAGTGTTCATCTAACATTTGCTGAGGTTCTCCAATGAGAGTGGAAACTCATTGCTTCTTGAGACAGCCCATTCCTAATTGTTAGGAGATTCTTCTCCCCCTAAATCTAGCTTAAATTTGCCTTTTTGGACCTTCCACCCAACTTTAGACCTTAATGCAAAAAATAAGTCAAGATACATTCTTGCTTCTATTGGAATATAAATACTTAAAGGCTTCATATTCATCATAGATGTACACCTGAAAGAGACCTAAGAATTCATCTAGTTTATGCCTGTTATTTTATAGATGAGGAAACCAAGGCTCAGGAAGGTTTAATGGTTTGCAATTGGTTGCACAATTAGGAAGTGAGTTTTGAACACTGGTCATCTGACCCCAAATCCATTGCACTTTTCACTGTACTAGCTTCTCATTCAAATCTCAGCTGTACTGATTATCTAAGCATTCTTATCAATTATATCAGTAGGGAGAAATGTAGTTAGCTTTCATTTATCATCAAAGGAAAAAAGGTACTTTAGGATTTAGTTATTTTGTACTTTAGGGAAATGCATGTAAAAGTGCTTGGAGTTTATTGGCTGCTAGAAAGATGCTACATAAACACAATATATCATTATTAATCCTGTTAGGAATTAATAGTAGCCTGAGAAATAGTGGGCCTCCTGCACTATCTGCACTTCATTAGTTCTTTGAAAATACAACTTTAGAGAGTTTCGGAAAATAAGTCACAATGGGTTTTTATAGAGTGGCTGGTACAGACAGTGCCTCATGGGGACATGCTAG